GAGCTTTGGACTTGACTTGCTCTTCTTTTTCTAGAAGCTTGAAGTTCAACATTAGACTGTTTATTTAACCCTGCTCTGTTTTCCTGATATGGGAATTCACTGCTATAAATTTCCCTTGTAGAACTGATTTTATTGCATTCCCCATTTTCTGGTGTGTGGTACTGGCATTGTTTAATTGTAGAAAGTGTCTAATTCTTCTTTAATTCCATCTGTAACCTATTGCTTGTTCAGGAGGGTGTTGTTAAATTTCCATGTATTTATGAAGTTTTTTTTTGTTTCTTCTACCACTGATTTTCAATTTCATTGTACTATGGTCTGATAATATGCAGGGGATAATTTTAATTCCTTTGCATTTACTTAAGCACGTTCTATGAGCTAGTATGTGGTCTCTTTTGCACAATGTCCCATTTGCAGCTGAGAAGAATGTGTATTTTGCTCATGTGGGGAAGAACACTCTGTAGGCTTCTACTAATTCCATTTGTTCAAAAGTTTGGTTCAGTTCTCATGTTTCTTTGTTGATTTTTTTGTCTAGTTGATCTGTATATTTGTGATAGTGGGTTATTGATGTTCCCTATTACATTTTGTTTTTTTTTTTTTTTTTTTTTTTTTTTTTTTTTTTGGTACCAGCAGTCAAACTCAAAATCCTGTGCTTACAAGGCAGGCGCAGTGCCTTGAGCTAAATCCCCAGCCCCTCATTTAATTTTTCATGCCCATTAATATTTGTTTTGTGCACTGCTATTTGGCGCATATGTATTTATGATTGTTATCTCTTGCCATTGGATTGTTCTCTTTACAAGGATGTAATGACCTTTGTCTCTTTTTTTTTCCATTAAGTTTATTGGTACATTTTAGGTATACAATACCTTTGCATTCATTATTGGGATTTTGTACTTTTACATGATGTATCTTGGTTCTTATTTTTTCCCCATTCCCCTGTCTTCCCTTCATCCATTCTTTGTCTGTCTCAATCAGTCTTGGCTTGAAATCAACCTTGTTTACAAATAGAATAACTACCTCTGCTTCTTTCTGGGTTCCTGTTTCATGGGATATTGTATTCCATCCTGTGACTTTCAGTTTATGAATTTGTTTTTTAATTAAATGTGTTTTTTGTATGCAGCATATTGTTGGATCTGCTTCTTGATCCATTTTGTCAGTCTGTTTCTTTTCTTTTTTTTTTTTGCCTGTCTATTTCTTTCAGTTGGTGAATTGAGACCATTAATATTGATTGTTCTAACTGATATATATTGACTAATCCTTGTCATGTTGTTTTCTGATACTGGCTCCCTTCCTTTCTCCTCCTCTTTGATTTTTGTCTTGCCTTGTGAATTCATTCTTTTGGGGTTCATGGAGTTATAATGCTTGTTATCTGTTTCTAGAATATCCTTCAGAACACTTTGAAGCACTGGTTATTTGGTGTTTGTTAATTTGCTTAGGTGTTCTTTTTTAAAATTTTTTTAATTGATTTTATTGGTACATGCTAGGTATACAGTACAGTTACATTCATTACTGGGATCTTGTACCTTTACATGACAGGTCTTGGTTCTCATTTTTTCCCCCTTGTCCCTACCTCCCTTCACCCCCTCCTCCCCTCCCCATTTACAAACACTTTCATTCCATTTTTTTCATTTTCTCACATTTTTTTCTTTTCCCTTATTCCCCTTGTACCATTCCCACTTTCCCTACACCTTTAGCCCTTTACTTCCTATTACACATTATTAATTATCTCATTAGGATCTTGTGTACTATTATAGTTTTTCACACCAGAGAAACTATTCGGTATTTCAGTTAAAGAAATCTCTATATGAACATTAAAAATAGGGAATCCTAAAATAAAACTAAAAAGGAAAGTAAAAGAGAAAAGGGAATGATGTAACATTAAAATAATCCTTAATTCTGGAGATGAAAATGGTCCCCAAACATATTTAAATTTCTTCTTGCTCTTATAGTCTTATTCTTATTTTCATTATTTAGAGAATACTTTATTAGTTTCTGTAATCAAACCCATGTAGATATAATCTTACATATTTAATACAGTGCATTACCCCTGTAGAAATGGAAAAAAAAAAATTAACATTTCTAGACCAATATGGCTGTTAATTTCTGTACAATGCCACCTCAACACAGTAAATTGGGATAACTTTTTCCAAAGTTGACAGCACAGGTAAAGTTTCCAAAAATTCAAATTATATATATATGTATATATTTATATTTATATAAAAAGATCAATAATAGCAGTATGTTATGCATCAGTAGCAACAGCTTTTCCAGGTTCTGCAGTCATCTGAACAAAATTACAGCCATTCAGCACACTCCATTAAAAAAAAAACAAAAACAAAAAACAAAGAGAATAATACCCAGAAAACAGCAAAGTTCTGTTGCTGCTGTGGTACCTGGCACCATTTTTTTTTATTAACATCTTAATCATCATCTGGAGAGAGAACATTCTAGAGTAACATCATTACAAATAGCTCTGATAAAGCACGGTCGCTACTATGTATCATAACGCAGGTACAAGATATTTTACATTCACAGAGGTATGATACAGCACCGTCCTACATCTATAATACTAGAATCAGTTTTGGTTTGAAATTTACTTTGTCTGCAAATAAGATTGCTACCCCTGCCTTTTTTCTGGGCTCCTGTCACATGGAGAATTGTTTTCCATCCTTTCACTTTCAGTCTATGGGCTTCTTTTTGCAATAGGTGTGTTTCTTGTATGCAACATATTGTTGGATTTTGCTTCTTACTCCATTCTGCCAGTCTATTACTCTTGATTGGTGAGTTGAGGCCATTGACATTGATGGTTTTAACTGATATGTACTGACTTATTATTGTCCTGTTATGGTCTTTTGTTGACTCTTTTTACTTTTTCACCTTCTCCTTTTAATTTCTTGCCTTGGCTATTTGATTTGCTCTGTTGGGCCTCATGGTTTTATTGACTTCATTGTCTTTTTCTAGGATCTTGTTTAGAATTCCTTGTAGTGCTGGTTTGGTATTCATGTAGTTTCTCAGGTGTTCTTTGTCTTGGAAGTATCTTATTTCCCCATCCATTTTGAAAGAGAGCTTTGAAGGATACATCAGTCTAGGTTGGAGGTTGTTCTCTTTTAGTACTTGAAATATCTCACTCCAGGCTCTCCCTGCCCAAGGGTTTGTGTTGAAAAGTCTGCTGTGATTCTGATGGACTTTCCTTTATATGTGATTTGTTTCTTTTCTCTTACTGCTTGTAGTATTTTGTTTTTCTGTTGGGTTTCTGGGATCTTGATTATTATATTTCTAGGTGTAGATTTTTTTTGATTGTGGCTGGTTGGGGTCCTATATGCCTCAGTTATCTGAATGTCAAATTCTTCCCCTCTGTTTGGGAAGTTTTCTGTCATTAATTCTGTGAACAGCTTTTTAAAGTCATTTGTATTTTCTCCTGCTACTTCATGGATTCCTATCAGTCTTATGTTATTCTTCTTTGCATCATCTAGGAGTTCCTGATGATCGAGGGGATCAATTTCTCATGATCCCCTACTGTTTTTAAGAGACCCCTCTTTTCATGGTCACTGACTGCAATCTTATCTGAGATTCTATCTTTGCATTCTTTTATTCTGTTGCATACACTTTCAGTGGAGTGTTTAATCTCCTGGATATCTGTTTGAATCTGTTTTATGGATTCCATTTCTTTCCTATGTTGGGCGTTTATTGTTTCCATTTCTTTCTTATGCTGGGCCTTCATGGCTTCTATTGTGGTGCTGAGCTCATCTATTTTTTTGTCATTTTCTGTTCTAGAGTCTCGAATCAAGACTTTCATTTTGCTCACCATCTCTATGGTTATCTGGGAAATTATTTCTGATTAGAATTTTTCTAGAGCCTGATTGATCTGTTTTGTTACTTCCTGTGCTTTGAGTTCAGGTTGTCCTGGTGGTTCACTATCGGCCTTTTCATCCTCATTTGCCCTACTGTTTGCCATTGGTGAACTGGAAGTCTGTCTTTATGTCTTGCTTAAGTGTTTTCTCATTTTTATTTTTGTTGTTGGGCTGTCCTTGGTTTAATCTCTGGGTTATCACCCAAATCTTCCTGATATAGTTGTGCCCTAGCTTCTGGGTCTCTAACCACCCACAGACAATTTCATCTTCATAACATCAGAGAAAACAGCTCATCGAATGCACCACAATCCTTTATCCCAACTGATACAATCAGCAACACATTATGATCAAGCACAACTTGGAAGCTGACCGCCTGTGGTAGTCACTAGTCTATCACCCTTAAACCATTTGAAATAAATTGAAATCAAGAAGCAGTCCAGAACATGTCTGTAGTGAACAAACTTTTCAATATAGTATATTTACCATTTAATGGCTCAGACATCGTGAGGATGCACGACCCCTGATCTCAATTAGCTGATGGCTGAACCCCATGACGCAGACTGACCTCAGGCTGCATGGCCCAGATTGAGTTCTCCAACCTTCTGAACGGTTGAACTCCACACCATTCCACTACAGGTTTCCCACGCCCTTTCTTTAAATATATTCAATGTTGGGAACTCAGAAAAATACCCTCTATGACCACCTCTGTCTCTGCAGAGTGGGTCCAAAGACTGGCTCATTCAGGAGGTCTGAGAGTGCGCGGGTGTGTGTGTGTGTGTAGGGGAGTTGTTGGGGTTCAGGGGCGCCCTCACGGCTACCTTCCTGGTGCTGGAGTGATGGCGGCTCCTGGTAGGGGAAGGTGTGGCTATCCTTCCCACAGTGGATCGGGGCCCAGGCAGCCCTCCTGGTGCTAGAGCGATGGCGCTCATCTTAATATTTCTTAATAGGAAACGTAAAGCCTTTTCCAAGTTTTTGCATAGATGATGTATTTTCATTTTTCTTTTTAAAATAAAAATTTTGTTTGATCATTTCAAGGTAGAAAAGTTCTATAAACCTTAAGTAACACCAACAATATTTTCAGTGAAACTTAATTTCTGTAAGTGTATTTGTTTGCAAATTTGTATTCAGTGCCTTTTTTTTTTTTTCTCATAGATAATCTAAAAATCTCTGACTTTGGCTTGGCCACAGTGTTTCGGCATAATGATCGTGAGCGTTTATTGAACAAGATGTGTGGTACTTTACCTTATGTTGCTCCAGAACTTCTAAAGAGAAAGGAATTTCACGCAGAACCAGTTGATGTTTGGTCCTGTGGAATAGTGCTTACTGCCATGTTGGCTGGAGGTAAGAGCCATTTAATCATTATACAACTCCTGTCTTATGGAAAGTCAGATTTGCTTACCAAAATAATTTAAGGGGAATCTATATTTATATAATAGCATTTTAATTGTTTCTTAACCAGTTTGGGCTGCTTTAACAGTAATAGACTAGAGTTGCTTGTACAAAACAGACTTATTTTAGACATTCTGGAGGCTAGAAGTTTGTGTCAGTGTACAAGCATGATCAAGATCTGGTGAGGGACCTATTCCTGGCTTGCAGATGAAATGGCTGTCTTACTGTATTCTCATGACAGAGCAGAGAGAGCAAAAGTAAGGCATTCAAAAAAAATCGTTTTTTTTTTTTTTTGGTATTGGGGATCAAATTCAGGTCCTTGTGCTTGCGAGGCAGGCCTCGAAACCACGGAGCTAAATCTCCAGCCGTTCAGTATTTTTTTTTAATAACACAAATTCGTTTGTGAAGGTTTCCACCCTAAGAGACCTGTTCACCTCCCAAAGACTTTGTCTCTGAACACTGTATCATGTTGTAGATTAGGATTCCAGTATGCAGATTATTTGGGGAAAACAAACATGTAGTCCATTGCATGTAGTAACTAATTTATAAGTTACTTGGAAATTGTGATCCAAAAGGTTTTTAAAATGAGGTATATATAGCTATTAAATGAATAAAAACATTAAAAAACAAATGAATAATCACTGCAACCAGCTCTTTTTAGTTTCATGTAAACACTTTTTTTATTAGTACATGATTGCAGTACATAATGATTACATTTATCATGTGGAATTGGTAACATAATCTTAATTCTTTTTATTTGCCCTTTCCCCTCCCTCCATTTCTAGATCCCCTTCCCATTTGCAAAAGATCTGTCACCCTGTTTCCTCTTAGCTGTCATTTGTAGGGCCAGAAATGGTTCCTCTATTTTTAAGGTGCCTTTAACATTGAAGTGTAGTGTTTTGTTTTGTTTTTTGAGACAAGGTCTCACAATATAGTCCAGGCTGACCTCATACTCACAGTGCATCCCAGATTGGCCTCAAATTTGAGGCAGTCCTCTTGCTTCAGCCTCCCAATTGCTGGCATTAGAGGCGTGTGCCACCATGTCCAGCACAGACAGTCTATATTTGATGATATGTGTCTTTAATTATTATTGAGTCATGGCCTGGCTTCTTAACAAGTAGTGTTTAGTTTGTAAAGCATTGAATTAATTTGGAGAAAATGTTTTATAGATTTCCATATTATTTTCCCTTGAAATCTTTATAAATAACTACATGAATATTCAAAAAACTGATTTGTTTCTTTTTTAGAATTGCCATGGGACCAGCCCAGTGATAGTTGTCAGGAATATTCTGATTGGAAAGAAAAAAAGACATACCTCAACCCTTGGAAAAAAATTGATTCTGCTCCTCTAGGTAATGGGTTATCTTGATTAAAATTATTGATTTCTTAGATAATGAAATGCAATTTGAATTATTTTCTTTTTTAACTTGTAAATCAATATATAAATAACATATCCTAGATAAGTCAGAAAATATAATTAAAAATTAAGAAAAAAATCTTATTGGTGAAGTCAGAAATACTTTTAAGGAGATTCTGATATGTGCTTCTGTTCTTTGTTTTATATATAAGAGATGCCTGTTATGTGTGTATATTATTTATAAATATATTTTTACATAAAATGAAATCATTCATATTTTTGATAACCTGTGTTTTGATTTTCATGTTCTGTGAACATTTTCCATGTCTACATCATTGTTTTTAAAGGCTGTGATGTTATTCTGCAATATGGGTATACCTTACTAATTCATTTCTCTTTGTAGGAGATTTAGATTTTTTCCTAAATTCTCACTGTTGAAAAAGAAATATGAAAGGCACCTATGTTTTGGTTTTTTTTTTGTTTGTTTTGGTATTAGGGATCGAACTTGGAACCTTCCGCTTTCAAGGCAGGCAGCAGAACCACTGAGCTAAATAAATCCCCAGCCCTGCAAGGCATTTATGTAATTTAATCTATGCATACATCCTTAAAATTTTGTGGCTTACCCCCTTATTACCCTTATAACTATTGAACTTAATATTTTAAAATCCCTAATATTTTTGCAATATTATAGGGTCAAGGATAAATATAATTTTAAATACTGTGACTTACTTTGCCAAATTACTCAACAAGATGTTTGTACCATTTCATAATGTTATCACCATCTCATCAGTTTATATTATAGAATTTAATCTAAGAGGTCTGCCAATGATGCTGATTTTTGTTTTAAATTTAATGGTAATGAAATTGCATATACTTTGCATATTTATTAGTTTCTTGTCAATTTTGCCCAGTTTTGGCAAGGAGATTTATATTGTTTTTCTTATCCTTTGAAGACTTTCTTTAAATTAAAAAAATTGTCATTTGACCTTTGCATATATTGCAAATATTTTCTACAATTTGTCGTTTATTTTCATTTTGTTACTTTGATAATATGTAGAAATACACAGAGATACCTCAGTTGTCGAACTCAGTTTGTCCCATTATTTGTTTAAACACACTGAAAAGTTAAAAAACTGAACATATTTTTCCCCTAAGAAATAATGGAAAACCAAATAACTGGTTCTGAGGCCCAAAAATTACTTATGACTTCCTTTGTACAGGATTTTATCAAATTTTGCAGTGATTTCTTTAAGTCTGTTCCACTTTTCATAATTTTCCTCTTAGCTTTATTGCTGGTATCATTAACTTTTTTGGGACACAATGGTTATGATATTTTGCACTAAAAGTACAAAAACAAAAAAGCAATAACTTTTTTTGTTGTTTTTGGTTTTTGTTTTTGTTTTTTTTCTTTTTTTTTTTTTCTCCCTTTTTTTTGGTTTTTTGAGACAGGGTCTCATTATGTAGTTGAGAATGACCTGGAACTCACTATGTGGCCCAGGCTGGTCTCGAACCCACAGCAATACTCTTGCCTCAGCCTCCCAAGTGCTGGGATTACAGGCGTGTGCCACCATGCCCAGCTCATAATAACTGTTTTAATGCACTGTTGTGTGGGCAAGAGTATACTTAGATGAAGTGTTATCCCCTTGTGTCCCAGGAGAGACAATGGTGACTCACTCTGCCGGTATAGGCTTATTGTCAGATTTTCTTTGTTTTTGTTTTATTTTTTGGTACCGGGGATCAAACTCTGGTCATTGCTCTTGCCAAGTAGGTGGTGGAACCACTGAGTTAAATCCCCTGGCCCGTTAGATTTTCAGTTTGACACAAAGTTAACAAACGTGGAGCAGATTTTTTTGAATTTTGTTGTTTGAATCCTGCAGTGGAAAGTTTAAGCTTGGAGCCATTCAACAACTGAGGTATCACTGAATGTAAAATTTTATAATTTTCAAATCTATAATTCTGTTATTCGTAGTTTCTGACTATATTGTCATATTTGGAAAGGTCTTTTTTATCCCTAATATATTCTTTTAAGGTTTCCCTATGTTTTCATTTAATGTTTTATGCCTTTAGTTTTACATTTAAGTCTTTGATTTATTAGAAAATCATTTTGGTATTGCAAGACAAATGCATTCTTTCAAAAAAATATACATGATTACCTATCAGTTTTATAAAATACTGGATTTGTTTCAAAGTGATATATTTTCATGCATGTTTATAATATTTTGATCATCCTCATCCCCCCACAGAGATGTATGAATTCTTTATCAAGGTAATTAAAAAGCCTTAGAATGATGGTTGGTTATATTACTGTCTCCTAAAAAGTTACTGATGAATAAACTTTCTTTATAAAAGTGTGAATGAGCTAGGAATCTGGCTCAATGGTTCAGCGCCTGCCTGGCAAATTCAAGATCCTGGGTTTGCTTATTTCTTCCATGACATTAGAGCAATGAAATTTGGTGTTACAAATGATTAAGAGTTTGGTTTATTTTTTTTGTTTTTTAATGTCTTGTTAATGTCATGGGGAGAAGCAATTCCACTTCTTATTCAAAAACAATTGAGAATTAGAATCTGGAAAGAATATTCTAAAGTAGAGACACAGCAAAGAATAACTACATGAAATTAAAGGAATAATTTGTTAGGTTTTTTTCTTTGGTACCAGGGATCAAACTCAGGGCCTTGCACTTGTGAGACAGGTGCTAGCACCACTGAGCTAAATCCCCAGCCCCTTGGGAGCTCTATTCTTTTGCTGCCTTGAAAACAATACTTAGACATAAGGAGGCCAAAAAAGAATATGTTTCTTAATACAAGACCTAAGGTTTTATAAACTGCATGACTCTTATAAATGTTTTAATGTTGTTTTCAGCTCTGCTGCATAAAATCCTAGTTGAGAATCCATCAGTAAGGATTACCATTCCAGACATCAAAAAAGATAGATGGTACAACAAACCACTTAAGAAAGGTAATAAATACTCTTAAAATTCAAGCACTTTTCTCTATGAAAGAACATTATTTGTAGCTGGGCATGGTGACACACATCTGTAATCCCAGTTCTCAAGAGCCTGGGCAGGAGAATAGCTATAATTTTGAGGCCAATTTGGGCTACATAGTGAGTTCAAGGCCAGCTTGAACTATGTAGTGAGACCTTTTCTTAAACCAAAAAATAGAAAGAATGGTAATTGCAAAGTTGGTATCACAAGTCAACTCTAGAACGATATGGTCTCTATCCTGGTGGAAATTTTAATGTCTAATAGGAAAAACAAATACAGAAAGTAATTTTGTTTATTAATAACTACAAAGGGAATGTTGGGGTACTATATAGCTAAGTGTTTGATCAAATCTTAAGTCTTAAATGAAGAATTTTCTTCCTGAGGAAATGGCATGAGATCTAAGATTTGAAGATTAAAGAGGAGATAGACAGGGAATGTAAGGGCCGGGGATTTAGCTCAGTGGTTCTGCTGCCTGTCTTGCAAGTGCAAGGTCCCGAGTTCGATCCAGGTACCAAAAAAAAAAAAACAGACAGGGAATATAAGTTACCGATTTGATACTGAGCAGAGGAAGCCTTCAGAAAATATAGTATTAGATTTATTATGTCTGGAATATTTGAGGAACTTGAAAGAAGGCCATTATGGCATGAACCTCATCAGTATTCTTCATCATCTCACCAGTGGTTAGCATATTTGAGGCATATTGTAGACACTCAGTAAGTTTGTGAAGTAAATGAGTAATTCAAGAAATGGAAGAGGAAGAGGGGCTGGAGATTTAGCTCAGTAGCTTTACATCTGCCTGGCAAGTGCAAGGTACTGAGTTAGATTCCCAGTACAAAAGAAAAAAGGAAAAGAAAACAGGAGAGGGAGAGCATTTTCTGAGATGGTAGCTAAAAGGCAAACAGCAGCCAACTTACAAGGAGGATGGTGTTGTGTATGTATGATGCTTAGAATTCTGGGCTTTGGTTTAAGTCCATTAGGAAAACTTGAGAGATGTTAAGCAAGAAAATGTCAAGGCCTTATATTTAGTTTAAAAAGGGCTTTGTGGCTACAACTCCTTTGTCATTGTTTTTGATGACTAGGAAGAGGTTAAGAGTGGTATCAGCTTTTTTAGAAGTAGTTGATGTGTGAGAAGACAGTAGCTTGTTGGAGCAGGGTAGTAGTAGGATTGGAGAAAAAAATGCAAAGACGTTTGAGGAGCAGAATTGATTATTTAGATATGGAAAATGAACAGTAATGACTTCTAGGTTCTGGTTTTGATAACTCAAGGAGAAACAGATTTGGGGGGAATTTTCTGTTTTCTTTCTCTTTTTTGATACCAGGAGTTGCTATGTAGTTCAGGCTCTTCTTGAACTCATGTACCCCATGCTGGGCTTGAACTTCCAGTGATCTTCTTGCCTCAGCCTCCTAAGTGCTGGGATTGTAGGTGTGCACCACCTTTCCTGGCAGGGAAAATTTTGATTTTTTTTTTTTAATGGTTTTAAAAGTTTATTTTTATTGTACTAGACGTTGAGCCCAGACCCTTGCACATGCTAGGCAAGCATTTGTACCACAGAGTGTTTGATTTTTAATATCTTGAATTTGAAGAGCTGAGTAAAAACTGCTTAGTAGTGTGTGTGTGGGTAATTCAAATAAGACTTACCCTGAGATGTCAGTTTGAAGAGTTAAAGCATGATGGTAAGTGAAATTAAGTATAGGAAATTTTAAGAAATGCCAGTGTTTAAGTGGTGGGTGGAGACCAGGGAAACAGAGTAGAGAGGGGAGAAAGGAACATCTGGAGAATGTGGGATAATGGAGACTAAGAGAAGACAGTACCTGATGATGGCATATACTGCTAAATGGATCAATAACATGAAGCCTTTCCACTGTATTCTATAATGTAGTTATTCATGATTGGGCAAGACAGTTTTAGTGAAAAGTTAGGAGTAAATTCTAGAGCATGGTAATTGTGTGAAAGAGCGGTAAAGAATTAGGGTCGCTGTAGACAACTCATTCGTTGGCTGTTGGGGGAGAGGCGAAGACAATAGCTAGAGGTGAACAAGGAATTTTTAATTTAATTCTTCTCAATGTTTCCTTTACCTTTTTGTTCTAATTGGGACCTACCTTATCCTTGAGGACACTACTTACTCTGAAGTAGTGGAGGTTTTCTTTCTTATACCCTCACTCTTGGGTCTGGAAGTAGGGCGGGTATCTTCCTTGATCCTTATTTTGTTTTCAGTTCTGGAGATTGAACCCAAGTCCTTCACACTGAGCTCTACCTCTAGCCTTTTTTTAAATTTTAAGACAGGATCTCCCTAAATTGCTCAATCTGGACTTGACTTTGCAGTCCTCCTCCTAGAGTGTTGGTATTACAGGCATGCACCATCACTCAAGATTCCTCCTTGTACCTCATTGGCCCTTTCTCCTTTTTTTTCCTGCATTCTTCCCTTCTCCATTTTTTTTTTTTTTTTTTCTTTTGAGACAGGGTCTTAACCCAGGATGGCCTTGAACTCATGGCAGTCCTGTCTGAGCCTCCTCTGTTTTTTTTTTTTTTTTTTTTTTTTTTGGTACTAGGGATGGAATTCAAGATCTCATGCTTGTGAGGCAGGCATTGGAATTACTGAGCTCAACCCCTGGCCCTCCTCTCATATTATCAGATGCTATCATTCATTGTTGCCTCATTATAATCCTCTTTTGAACTCCAAATTGAAATTCCTGCCATACTTTCATTATCTCCAACATGACTTGATACTATTTCTGTCATGCTTCTTGGTAATTTAACTATTTATTTGAATGATGCTAATTTTTTTTTTTTTTTTTTTTTTTTTTTTTGGTACTGGGGCTCAAACTCTGGACCTTGTGCGAGGCAGGGGCAGTGCCACTGTGCTAAATCCCCATCCCTTTCCAATATTCTGACTTAACAGTTTCTTGGACTTCTCTTTCTTTTTTGGAGGGGTAGGGGTTTGAGACAAGATCTGGCTCTGTAATTCAGGCTAGGCTTAAACTCACTATGTAACCCAGGTTGGCCTCAAACTCATGGTGAAGTGATCCTCCTGCCTCACCCTTCCAAGTGCTAGGATTACAGGCCTGTGCTACCACGCCTGGTTGGACCTTTTCTTTTTTTTTTTTTCTCAGTAATGGGGATTGAACCAAGGCTTTTGTTCTTTTTTTTTCCTCCCAGTTGTTTATTGGTACATTTAAAGCAAACAGTACAAGTTACATTTATCATTGGGATCTTGTACCTTTGCATGATATGTCTTGGCTCTTATTTTTTCCCCATACCCATTCATCCCCTTCACCCTGAAACAAGGCTTTTGAACTGAGCCATATCCCTAGGGCTCAAACTTGTGATCCTCCTGAGTAGCTGGGATTATAGGTATGTGCTATTGTATCTGGCTCTAGTGAGCTTGTCTTTAAATATCCTGCCTTGATTCTCAATGTATTTTATTTCTGGCTTCCTCCTTGTAGTACTGTGATTTCAATAATCCTGACTTTACCTGGACTTGCAATCTGTTCATTCTACCACCTTTTCATTGTCTCTTATATGCTTTCTCTCTAGGTCCTCATCAGTCTTAAACAACTTTCTTTTTATCTTCAGCTTCTTTGCTCTTTTCTTTCTTCATCACACTTACTGGACAAAAACTAACCCAAATTTTTTTTAACCCAACCCAGTTTTAATCCAGTTTTCTATCTTCTCTACACTCATACTGCACTGCTGATAACAGAGAAAAATACCCAACAGTGGTCACTTTAAATTGAGAACCACTAATCTCAAGTAGGACTTTAATGCTGCCTTGCAGTCACATTATCTTTCTCCACTTTTACTACCCTGTTATTCTCAATTAAATGTCTTTCCTTTGCCCTTAACTTTAATTTCTCCTTCTCCTCCTTCCCTTTCCATTCTGCTTGCTTGCTTGCTTCTTTCCTTCCTTCCTTCCTTCCTTCCTCCCTCCTCCCTCCTTCTCTCCCTCTCTCTCTCCCTCCTTCCCTCCTTCCTTTTTTCTTCTTCTTCTTATTATCAGTGCTGGGGATAAACCCAGGGCCTCATGCATGCTAGGCATATATTCAACCCCAAAATAAATAACAGTAGTTTAACATTTCTTTCTTCTTCTTTTCCTTTTTTTCCCCCAATGCCTTAGATTGAATCTACAGTCTTCTGCATGCAAAGCAAGTACTCTATCACTGAGTTACACTCCTAGCCCTTTTCTCTGTAATACCTCCTTCCCCAGTGTCACTCTCAGTTGCTAACAATGCTCCCTATTTCAAGGAGAAATAGAAGCAGGCAGAATGGAACTTCTCAAGCCCCCACCATCATCTCCTTGCCCAACTGTCTCTGTGTTCATAGATTCTAGTATATATCTTGTTGCTGTGAATAATTTGCTCCACATAGAAATGAACTTTTCGCAAAGGACATTGTCTAACAACTCCTTGTCCTGCAGCCTTAATTTTCCCTTCTGTACTGGATCTTTCTCAGTGTATCAACATACTGTTTCTTCTCTCTTTAAAACAGAGAGTTAAGTAAATAAATAATAGATAAAAGTATTTAATAAGCTAAACAGTAATAAAACTTCTCTTGTAGCCACTTCTTCTACCATTCCATCATTTTCTTTTTATCTCTAACACCTCAAAGTTAGTTTTGAGAACTTCTTTCTGACTAGTGTTTTGTCAAAAGTTACAGTGACTTATGTTGCTAAATCCAAATCAGTTCTTAGACCTTCTCTTATTTTGTTTGATCAGTAGTATTTTACAAAGCTGATCATGCTATCCTACTTTAAATACTTTGTTCACTTGATTTCCAAACATTACTCTCTCTTTATTTTCATGCTTCTCAAGGCTATTCCTTTTCTGTCTCTCTTGATGATGTTCTCTCATTTACCTGGTCTCTTAATATTGGAGTACATCAGAACTCAAACCATGGACCTCCTTTCCTTTCTTATCCATATTTACTTTTTAAATTTTATTGTGTCTCATTGCTATAATTCAATCTATATGTTGATAACTTACCACTGTTATATCAACTTTGGCCTTTTCTCTGAATTCCATACTCATATATTTAACTTCTCAAATTTTGCTTGAGTATAATGGCCATCTCAAACTTTATGTATCTCAAACTGAGTTCCTGATCTTTCTCCTTTGTCTCTTCCTTCTAGTCTTTTCCAACTACATCCTTCTTGTGAGGCATATCAGAAACCTCTGAACCATCTTTCATCCTTTCATTCTGTTTTACCTCATTTCCAACTTACCAGGAATTTTTATTAACCTTTACCTTTAAAAATCTCAGATTCTGACCACTTTTTCACACCTCCATTGGTACCCACATGGCATCTTGCCAGTGTGTTCCAATAAAAAAATAAGTTAGAATATGTCAGTGTTCTGCTCAAGCCTTTCAGTGTTTCACTTCTCAAAATATGGGCTAAGATCAGTTCATGTTCTGTGAGGTCTTATATATTGTTTCTTTCATTATGTTTTAGATTTAGTTCTACTGCAGTTTTTCCCCACATGGTCATACACTATAGCAATACACTATAGTTTTCTGTTCATTGTTCTCCAATTATCTGTTCTCTTGATAGACTTTTACCCCCTTTTTTTTAAAAAAAATAATAACTATTCTCTGTGCCTAGAAATGCTTTTACCGCTGTGAGACTTACCCTTATGTCTTATTCCGCACCTTCTTTGGGTATTGACTTCATTGTCATTGAGGAAAACTTTAAAACTGAATCCCCATCTCCTCTATGGACTTCTTCGTGTTATATTTCTCTGTTGTACTTGTCACTGTTTAGCAAGTTTAATTTTAACTTTACTTGAATTTTAACTTGCTTTATTTTTTTTTCTGTGGAATATAAGAGGTCATTGACTTTTGTCAGTTTTGTTCATATTGAATACTTAGTACATAGAATAATGCCTGGCAGTAGTAGAACTAATAAAATATTTAAATGAATGGATATTCATCCAAATATTTGAGTGAATGGGTTTATCAATAAAAAGATTGGCTAACCTTAAGCATGTTATAATGGTTTTGGATATAAATTCAGTAGTGAAATAGTCTGAAAGTCTTAAGAGAGTAAGAAAGGGAGGGAGTAAGTAAGGGCATCAAGATCTCCAGGAAGGCAGGTGGGCATGAACTTCATAGTTCAAGTAGAGGAACAAATATTTGATGAGAGGCTGCAAAGAAGGAAAAGAAACTGGACATGGTGACACATGCCTACGATCTCAGCACTGTCAGAGGCCCAGGCCAGTGGATCATAAGTTCAAGCCCAGTCTGGGCAATTTTAATGATTCGCTGTCTCAAAATGAAACAAAAATGGGCTGGGGATTTAGCTCAGCAGCACTGCCCCTGCCTAGCAAGCACAAAGTCCTGAGTGTGATCCCTGGTACTGGAAAAAAAAAAAAGAAGAAGAAAAGGCTGGGTTGTAGCTCAGTATGAACACTGACTTAATCCTCCGGGGGAGAAAAAAAAAAAAAAAAAATGGAAAAAGAAAAGAAAGGAATGCAAGTGCACTTGCAGATTTTGCAGTGACATGTTGACTAGTTTCTATCTACTAGCTTTGTTTACTATATGAAATGGATGACAGTATCATGCTAATAATGAAGGGATGGGGGGGCGTGTCTTGAAAATTTCAAAAGAGTGTAGAAGTTTTGAAATAATATTTCCCAAGAAAGGGAGAGGACACTGACTAATGAAATAATTAGAACTGACAGTTCTGAGGGTAGATCTGAGTTTGTAGTGGCATCACTTTCTTCATAATGATTATTATTGATCTTTTCTAGTGGAGCAGAATGTTAGAGCAGATTTATGTTTATTGTTATTATAGTGAATTATTTTTTATTTTAAAAAGTTCTACTCCTTTAACTAGATCTCTTCATTTCTGTAGAGCCTTTGTTGTGGCCTTAGCATGATAACCCACAGTTAGAACATACTTAAAGATCACAGTTTGTGAAATATCTAATTTGACAAGTGAGTCCAAGTAAATTTATAACTTGACTACATTTCTTGTAAAATCATGTAGGAAGAGCCACTGTCTTCTATGTACTTTGTGTTCAATAAGTATATTTAGATATGATTTTACTTATTCAAAATGCCAGTTGGGTTAATTAAAAAATGTCTGCATAAAAGTCTTAAAAGCATTTGTATTGTCTTCTGTTTTAGGAGCAAAGAGGCCCCGGGTCACTTCAGGTGGTGTGTCAGAGTCTCCTGGTGGATTCTCTAAGCACATTCACTCTAATTTGGACTTCTCTCCAATAAACAGCGCTTCTAGGTAAGTTATTAAAGAAAGATGAAGTAGTTACTGAATATAGAATTCCCCAAGGAGAATAATACACGTATATACCTTTCTTAATGAACATAATTTTTTCAGAATGAGAATGAATTTGATATAAGAAAGACCTAGTAGATTTTATTTAGACATATTTTCTATTGAGCATAATGCCATGTGCCTGTAGTCTTAGCTATTGTACTTGGGAGGCTTCTGTGATGATTTATTGGAGGCCAGTATGAGTAGCATCAATGAGATACTGTCTCAAAAAAACAAAGTCAAGTAGCTGAAGAAAAAAAAAAGTTGAAGACATATTTTTCTCTCTGTCTTAATGTCTCAGTGAAGAAAATGTGAAGTACTCCAGTTCCCAGCCAGAACCACGGACAGGTCTTTCCTTATGGGACTCCAGTCCCTCATATATCGATAAACTGGTACAAGGGATCAGTTTTTCCCAACCTGCATGCCCTGATCATATGCTTCTGAACAGCCAGTTAGTTGGCACCCCAGGATCCTCACAGGTAAGGGAATTTAATTGTTCAAATAAATAATGGTTGCTCTTTATTTTTGTTATTTTAAGTCTTTTGTTCATGTGGAAATCTTAGGAAAATAGTATTAATACTTTTAATTTATATATGTATTTTGTACAAGGAATAATTAAAGGAGGACTTCATGGAACAGAATCTCAAATTACATATAACATTTTTCAGGCTAGCTAGCTGTGATATCTCTGCTTTTGATCATTGTGGATTTATTCAGCTTTCCTGTTTGACATGTAGAACCCCTGGCAGCGCTTGGTCAAAAGAATGACACGATTCTTTACCAAATTGGATGCAGACAAATCTTATCAGTACCTGAAAGAGACATGTGAGAAGTTGGGCTATCAGTGGAAAAAGAGCTGTATGAATCAGGTATGTTTTGTCAGTTTGTTTCACTAAAAGCTATCCTTAGGATGTTTAAAGAATAATTCAAATTTGGAAAACAATTGAAATTGAAAAAATTTAAATAAAGTCCTGTGTATTTTTTTTCCATTAAGTTTATTGGTACATTCAAAGCATACAGTACAGTTACATTTGTCATTGGGATTTTGTACCTTTACATGATATATCTTGGTTCAATCCTGTTTATCTTAAGAAATAATATTTCTTGAAAAGCATTACCAGTATGAGCCTAGTGTGGTGGCACAGACATAAAATCTCAGTAGTGGGGAGGCTGAGGCAAAACTGTGAATTTGAAGCCAGGTTGGGCTATATAGTGAGTTTAAAAATAAATTAAAAATATTAAGTAACTGGAGTTATTACTAAAAAACTATGTAAAGTTAATTATAACTGTTGACTGCCCTGATCCCCTGTGCACCAGTTTTTGTTTATATTATTGTAGCATAGTTATAATACCAGCATTCTAATCTGTATTTAGGTTTTTCAAGAGGCAGTTATTCTGTGTATTTAATTTAAAAAAAATTTTTTTTGAGACAGGGTCTCACTACGTAGTTCAGACTGCCCTCACTGTGTAGCCCAGGCTGATCTTGAACTCTCAGTGATCCTCCTGCCTCATCCTCCCAGTGCTGGGATTACAGATGTATGCCACTACACCTGCCTTAGAGGCAGTTATTCTGTATTAAAGGTGATTTAAGAGGCCTGATAACTAAATGCAATATGTAATCTTTTTCTAGATCAGTGATGGCATATCTTTTAGAGTTTTCAGTAATACAGACAGCCCACTGTGGCACGTGTGCCATAAGTTTGTCACCGCTTCACTAGATCATAGATTTAAAAATAAAACACCTATAAAGGATGTTGTTGGTTCAATATAGGCTGAATATTAATTATTGTCTTTGTCAAGTGGTGGGATGATAATACTGTGATTTCTACAAGAATGTCTTCATAAGCGGAGCTTCTTTACAGGCCGTAAGAACACTAAAAGAATGAAAGTGGAAGTTGCAAGACCTCTTTAGGCCTTTTCTATCTTTTTGATTGCTGCTCTGGCTTTTCAGATACAAATCCTGTCTTTTTCATTTTGTAATAATATTGTTTCCCTCTATTATTATTATTTCTTCTTTCAGTTTTATTTCTTTGGTTGCTAAGAGTTCACATGGACTCAGTCCCTATTTTCAGGTTGGTTTGGCTTGCATACACATACCACTCCTGTCTTGGAGTTACACTGCAGATTTTTATCCCAGAAGTATCATTGTCCTGAAAATATAGTTTTAATTTAAGGGCATTTTCTAGCATACACGTGGCTTAACCTTATTTTTGTTGCCTTAGGTTACTCTGTCAACAACTGACAGGAGAAACAATAAACTGATTTTCAAAGTGAATTTGGTAGAAATGGATGAGAAAATATTGGTTGACTTCCGTCTTTCTAAGGTACTTCTGATAATTTCGTTATAGTATTTTTTCTATGTAAATGTTTCTGTGTGAATTTTTTTTAATGGCATTATGTTTGTATACAGTAGTCCTCCCACCCATACTTTACTTTCTGCAATTTCGGGTCAACTATAGTCAGAGAACAGTAAATATAAAGTACAGAAATAAACATTTTATAAGGTTTCAATTAAGCACAAAGTACTTGGGCAGCTGAGGCATGAGTATCAAGTTTAAGTCCAGTGTGAGCAACATAGTGAAAACCTGTCTCAAAGAGAGCTGAGGATGTAGCTCAGTGGTAGAGTACTTGCCTGGGTAGGCAAATCCTTGGATTCAATCCTCGTGTGTGCCCTCCCCTTCCCCCACTGAGCATAGTTCTGAGTAACATGATGAAGTCTTGCATTGTTCCATTCCCTTCTAGTACATATGAATCATCCTTTTGCCTAGCATAAAAATCTTACACATAGGTTTTTGTTCAAGCTGTATATATTGGTTGGCTTTTACTCATTAGCTGTTTTGATTATCAGATTGTCACATATTGCAGGACTTAATATTCACATAAAGCTTATATTACTTAAAAGTGGTAACAAAGTGCAAGCATAGTGATGCTGGCAGCTTATCTATTTATTTATCAGTACATGTTTGTAGTACAAACATATAGTAGCAATTACATTCATTGTGGGGAGTTAGTACATAAACATGACGCATCTTAATTTGTTTTTGCTCTCCCATCTCTAGATCCTTTTTGTAGTTGCAAAAGATCTACTCCCTGATTGCTATTCATCCATTGTTTTGCTCTTAAAATTATTTATACTTTGGGTTTCTCATATGGTATAAGGGAAGCTGTGCAATATTTTAAGCTTGTGTGCCTGACTTATTTCACTTAAGACGGTGGTCTCAAGGTGCATCAATTTTCCTACAAATTACTCTTATTTATCCTTCTTCATGGCACAATAGTACTTTGTTATATAAATATGTTTTTTAAGTTAGTCATCTAAAATCGGTCATACAGGCCTCTTCCATGATTTATTATCAGTTGGGCTGCTATAAACATGAGTATGCATATATCACTGTGCTATAATGTCTTTAACTCTTTTGGGAAAATATGTAGAAGGGGAATAGCTGAGCTAAATAGAATTTCTGTTTTTAGGTTTTGGAGGAAATCTCCATACTAATTTCCACAGTGGTTGTCCTAGTTTATATTCCCACCAGCAGTGTAGAAATACTCCTTTTTCCCCACAACCTCATTGCTGGAAATTTTCATTATGCTATTTTATTATTAATTATTGTTATTATTCTCTTTGCTTAATTTATGAATTAAACTTTATTGAAGGTAAGTACAGAAAGTACTTAACTGTTAAATATAGGGTTCTATATTATCCATAGTTTCAAGCATCCATAGGGGGGTCATGGAACATTTCCTTCCTGGGTAAAAAGACTGCTTGTTTGACATTTGTAAATATATAACTTGGGTTTTTCATTTAATATTACCTCAAATCAGTTTCTTTGACCAACACTACTATAAAAATTTTTGTTTGGACCAAGGATTTAGCTCAGTGGTGCCATGCCTGCCTTGCAAGCTCAAGGTCCTGAGTTTGATCTATGGTATGGGGAAAAATAATTTTTTTTTGTAGACAGTGTAGACAAGTGAAAAATAAGAATAAAAGAACCCTTAAATTATGCTCCCCAGCTGTAATCATCTTTAATATTTTGAAATATTATAATTTTAATTATTTTAATTCATATTATCTTTTTATATTTCAGTTAACCTTTATTTCAGTAATTGTGATTAGTATTCTTAGATTTTTTTTTCAAATTTCTGATTATTTCTAGTTTTAAAGCTGTTAACATATGCAAGATGAAAATAGTGTTTTCTCTGTTTCCTTTGAAATTAAATACGGCTTTAAAGAGAATTGGAGTGCTAGTTCATATTTTTTATATTAGATAATATGCTGCAATACTATTTTCCAGATATTTGCAGTGGGTTTATGAAGGATCCTACTGAAATGAAACCTTTCTCATATCTGAATTTGTTGTCTTTGTTGCCATGGTATTGTGACAAGTGTAGTTGTGTAGCTTATTTTGTTGTTGTTGTTTTTGTTTTTGGTACCAGGGATAGAACTCAGGACCTTGCACTTGCAAGGCAGGTGTGGTGCCACTAAGCTAAATCCCCAGCCCATGTGTAGCTTATTTTTAGTGCACAAATTCCCACTCCCTTTGGAAATGTCAGAACTGTGGTCCAGTGGTACTAACTCTAAAAATAGGATGCTATATTTTCTGTTTTTTGAGTTTAGTGTGGTGGGAACAGTGAAGAGCACAAAATCAGATCAGAATTATTTACATACCATTTCTTCTACCAGAATATTTGGTCTTTTATTTTTTGTACTGGGGATTGAAGTTGGAACCTTGTGCCTGTGATGCAGGTGGCTGAGCCACTGAGCTAAATCCCCAGCCCCAGAATATTTGGTCTTATTAAGAGGATATGAAGGTATTGTAGCTGGACTTATCTAAGAATGTTTCTATTTACCAGTAAAGAGAGTTTGATTTTATGGCCTAATCTCTTCTTTCTAACATTATTTTTGTATATTATTTCTCATACAGGGTGATGGATTGGAGTTCAAGAGACACTTTCTGAAGATTAAAGGGAAGCTGAGTGATGTTGTAAGCAGCCAGAAGGTTTGGCTTCCTGCCACATGATTAGTCCCATGGCCCTTTGGATTCTTGGTGAATATGGTGCTGCTATGTTGACATTATTCTTCCTAGAGAAGATTATCCTATTCTGCAAACTGCAAACAATAGTTGCTGAAGAATCCTCTTCTCCTTTATCCAGATATCTTCCAATTCTTTGTATGTTTTGCATACAAATAATACCTGTATCTTAATTGTAAGTAATACTTTGGGGAAGGGATATTTTATCATCTGTGTATTGTGTCTGAATTTGAAATCCATCTTATAGAAACTAAGGTTAGGGTAGATGTGTTTATCAGCTTTTATACCAACATAATAACCCATTCTTACCAGAACGTGTTTCATCTAGAAAGTATGTATTTCATCGACATTGATTTAATTATAAAGATGGGTTAGCAAAGGCTTAGTCCTTCTGACTTTTGGAAAGCAGATTTATCAGTCTGTGAAGCAAGGCCATCCTCAAAAAATGAATCTCCAAAAGTTGTACTTATGTTTCCAAAAGGGTCTGACCAGTTACATAAACCTGCTGTTGAATTATAATAATTAATTAAAATTGCAAGTAGGTTTTTTTTTTTCCTGGAATAGCTAGTAAAATATAAAATACTGGTTCTTTCAAAAAGTTGAGCATAAACTACTGCTTAACTAACTTAAAAATTACTGTTGGACATCTTAAATATTTTTCTATATTATTCTCTACCTTCACAGACATTTTAATTCTTTACTACAGAAATAAAGTCTACTTTGAAAGTGATATCTAACTGTGAACTTATTGGTGACCAAGGTTTTAGGTGATGTGGAATAAATAAGTAGGATAAATTTTTAAGACCCCCACACCTAGACATATTATAGTAGGAATCAGATGTATTCAATAATTCCTACTATAATATGTCTAGGTGCGGGTCTTTTAAAATTTATCCAACTTTGATTTCATTGAACGTCTTCATGTATTTGTAGATCAATGACTTTCCTCAAACTTGGGAATATTTCAGCCATTATTTTTTTCTAATAATCTCTGTCCTTTGGTTTTTCTTCCAGGGTTTTTACTCTACACATACTGGTGTGCTCAGCGACATCCCATATGTCCCTTAGTCTGTACACATTTCTTTTTCTTTTGGTAGAACTGTGGATTGAACCCAAACCCTCACACATGCTAAGCAAGCATTCTACTAGTGAGATCCCCAGCTTGTCTGTTCACTTTGCTTCATTTTTTTTCCCCTTTGTATTCCTTAGACTCATTTGTTTTAAATGACTTGTCACAGATTTGCTGTTTTGTGCAAAGGATAATAGCTTGGTGGTAGAGCATGCATGAGGTGCTGGGTTTGAGTCCCAGCACTACAAAAAACACTTTGCTGATTATTCTGCCTAATCAAGCCAGCTGTTGAACTCCTACAGTGACTTTTTCAATATAGTTACTGTGTTTTTCTCTGGAATTTGGGTCCTTTTTACAATTTTCCCTTTGTTGATATTCTTATTTTGTTTTTGTGATTACTCTTAGTTCTTTGTTAAATTTAGCTCTTCTTGCATATTTAAAAACACTTGTTTTAAAGTCTTCGTGTAGTATGTCCAGCCTGTGTTTCTTTAGGAACTGTTTCTGTTGCATTATTATCCTCTAAATGGGTATATTACTCTTTCCCCTTTCTGTGTTTTATATTTTTGTTGACAATTTGACTTCTTTCTCTGTATGCCTTGTGATATTTTTGTTGAAAATTTGGCATTCAAAAAAACAACTCTGCTAAACTAGCTCTGTACTAAAAAATTCTTTACTGATAGCTCTTCATGCTTTGTGCCTAGGTATCAGGCTAGTAAGAAGGAATAATGTCTTCTCTGCTCTCTTGTTTCTTGGATGTCTTTTCTCTAGTCCTCTGCATACACAGAGATTTTGAATATCTTAATTTTTTAGTGTTTCATGCCAGCTTTGTAGCATTTAGATATTCTGTTGTATTCTCTACCCATAACCTTGCCCAGGCATCTACTGGTCCATGGTCCCTCTGCAGTATCTTCTTGAGTATATTCTTGAGCAGTATCTAGTGCTCCCCATGGTTTTTCCCAACCTGAGATCCAAGCTTTTCTGCTTCTCTCTGAGTGAGCTCTGAAGGAGGGGAAACAGTCCAATCTCTGAAGTTCCCCATAAGGATAGTATGTTACAGATAAAGTCTGCTCTCTGCTCCCCAAAGCTTGAGGAAGGTTACTGGGAATTTGAGCTGCTCCTTCCAGCTGTGCTATGCTGCGAAGAGGGTGGAGCAAAGGCTGGTAAAATGCCAGCATTTCAGTCCATGAGCCTCTGAGTATCATGTGCCTTTTCTTTGAACCAATTTTTAATTTTTCTCTTTGATTCTTATGTGCCTCTGTTTTTCTTTATATTTATCTTGCATTTATCCTTTTTTGTAGTTCACTCTTATGTGTTGATTACCTTTTGTTCACTCAATTTTTTGTTTTCTTTCAGGTTCATGAACATGTCTCTAACAGCGGCTTTTTGCCTTTGTTCATTAATTCTAATTTTTGGTCCACTTGGAGGTCAGTGTCTGTTGACTGCTTTTTTTGTTTGTTTTCAGACAGGGTCTCACTCTGTGATTCAGGCTTCCCTTGCACTCACTTTGTAGCCCAGACTGGCCTTGAACTTGCAGGAATTCTCTTGCCTCAATCTCTCAAGTGATGGGATTACAGGTGTGCACCACCTCGCCTGGCTTTTTGACTGCTTTTTTCCCCTTGGCAGTGGACCACAATTCCCTGCTTTCCTGTGTTCAGTAATTTTTTGTTACATGGTAGACCTAGTGGATGATGAATTGTAGAGACCCTGGACCCTCTGAAGAGTTGTCTTTTGTTCTAGTGGATTGTTAATGAGGGATTTGAACTCTGTCTCCTTCAAAGTGGACAACCCCTAAGAACTCTGCTCAGCGGTTTCAGCTTTCAGGTGCTGTTATTGTTGAGACTCATGAAGTTTTGGAATTGCCAAGACATTGGTCAGAATTTTTTCTTAGATTTGAGAGTTTATCTCTGTTCTTTGCAGAATTTCTCTTGACCTTCACAGCTGCTCTGTCAGTCCTAACCTATGTCCTCTGAAACCTCAAACCAGTAAGACTCGTGTCTGTGTGTGTGTGTGTATGTGTGTATATAGAACTGGGGATTGAACCCAGGGCCTTCGAACTGAGCTACATCCTCAGCCATTTTTACTTTTTACTTTGGTTTTTTGCTTTTTCAGATCCTCATCTGTTTTGAATGATCTTTTCTCATCTGTGCTTCCCTTTGGCTCCCCATTGTCTTCTTAGTCCAGAAAAGTCCATGTTTTTCTTAGTGTGATGTTTCAAAGTTCCTCATTACTTTTCTGGCTTCATTTTGCTTTTGTTTGTGGGTTTTGTTTTTTTTTTGAGACAGGGTCTCACTATGTACTTGAGACTTGAGACTGACCTGGAACTCACTATGTAGCCCAGGCTGGTCTCGAACTCACAGCGATCCTCTTGCCTTAGCCTCCCGAGTGCTGGGATCACAGGCGTGCGCTACCACTCCCGGCCTACTTTTTACTTTTTAATTTTATTTATTTTTTTGGTTCCAGGGATTGAACTTGGGTCCTTGTGCTTGTGGAACCACTGAGCTAAATCCATGGCCCTATTTTTTAATTTTTGAGACACAGTTTTTCAGACCTTTGTTTCCTTCCTTTTCTTTATCATCTGTGGAGTGTTATTCACCATAAATGGAAGCTAGAACTCCCTCCCCTACCCATAAATTTTATTTTTTGGGTTTTTGAGTTTTTTGTTTGTTTGAGACAGTGTCTCACTTTGTAATTCAGGCTGATCTCCTCCCCCCATACACAGCAGTGATCAAACTCAGGACTTTGTACTTGCTAGATGCCATGAGCTACATCTCTGCCCCTCAGGCTGGTCTTGAAATCACTGTGTACTCCAGGCTGGCCTCGAATTCATGGCCATCTTTCCGCCTCAGTTTCCTGAGTGCTAGAATTACAAGTGTGCACTACCATGCCGAGCCTCATAAATTTTAAACCTTTATTTTTTTTCATTAAGTTTATTGGTACATTTTAGATCTACAATATTATGACATACATCATTGGAAATTTACATAATCTACTTTAGTTTTATTTTTTCCCCATTCCCCTGCCCTCCTCAACCCCTCCACCTCTCCCTATTTACAAAGACTTTGTTTCCATTTTTAAATTTTCTCATATTAATTCCACTCCCTTCTTTCCTTTTCCAACCTATCCCACTTCCCTTCTCCTTTGGACCCTTTCTTCCTATTTCACATTATCAATTATACATTTTAATCCTTATTTACACTTTTAGTTTTTCATACCAGGAATACTATTTGGTATTTACACGTGTGTCCTATTTATTTCACTTGAGTATGACCTCAATGTGCATCCATTTAGCTATGAATGTCTGTATTTTCTCATTCTTTATGGCTGAGTAGTATTCCATTTTAGAAAAAAACACACATCATCTTTATCCAGTCTCCAGTTGATAGGCAGTTGGGCTGTTTACAAGTTTTAGCTATTACAAACTGTGCCACTATAAACATGGATGCACATATATCACTGTAGAATGATTCTTTTAATTCTTTTGGGAAGATACCTAGCAGAGGAATAGCTGGGTCAAATGGGACTTCTAATCCTAGTTGTTTGAAAGTTCTCTCTACTGATTTCACAGTGGTTGCACCATTCTGCACTCCCACCAACAATGGAAAAGGGTTCCTTTCTCCTCACAACCCCGTCAGCATTTGTTATTGATTTCTTGATAGGAGCCGTCCTTTCTTGGGTGAGGTGGAATCTCAATGTTGATTTCATCTTCATCTCTCAAATGAACAGTGATGTTGAATATTTTTTCATATGTTAAACCTTTATTTTTAAATACTATTTTATTAGAGATAGGACTATAGGCTCAAAAGAATTTTTAATTTTGAATACCAGGGATCAAACTCAGGACCTTCCGCTTATGAGGCAGGTGGCAGCACCACTGAACGAAATCCTCAGCCCTCAAAATAATTTTTATTCAGAAATTTGAAGAGAAGTTCTGTTGTCTTCTAGCCTACAGTTATTACCAATGAAAAGTTTTTTGGGGAAAGGCCATAATGTATACATATTCAAATTTTTAATTTATATACAGTAAAGATGACTTTGTTTCTTGGTATACTGTTCTAAGAGTTCTTAGGCAAGAACCCAAAAGTATAATTAATCATTAAAAAAAATTGGACTATACCAAAATCAAAGGTTTTTGCTTTGCAAAATACATTAGGACCACCCAGCTGATCTCCAGAGCCTTTACTTGGAGGGATGTAGAAGCAGCAATTGAAGGGGAAGGGGGCCCTGGGTTGGAGAAAAGGGCTGATTTTGGTCTTAAAAGACCATTCTGGTTGATACTCACAGTGTGAAATAATGGCTCAGATTAAGCCATTCAGATTTGGGTTTTAGAGTTTGGCCCTGGCTCTCACTAGCTTGGTAACCTTGGTCAGTTTGGAACAATATGGAATATGAATAAATAAAACATTCTGTGTCATATTTCTGTATTTATAAAGTAAAGATACTCTCTTTCCTGTCTATAACTCTGAGTTGTTTCCTGAGGCTCTGATGAGACCATGTATATGAAAACACCTTGAGGTGAGAAGCTACTGTTTAGTATTCCACCTGTGGTGCTTAGATGATCCAGTAATATTTTGTAGGAAAAATGCGCTATGAGTTACTGAAAAAAAAAAAAAGGAATCACTTTATTCTCACTTTGTGAATTTAAGTCTGAAAACTCAAGAGCCAGAGAAATTCTCTGTGCATGTGGAAGGATGTGGGGGAAAATAGGGATGGAAAGGTTGGGAGTCAGAGAGAAGTACCTGTGAAGCAGAATTTAAAGTAAAACAAGTTCTTCCCAGCCTTGGGCATCCCACCCTACCCGCCAAATCACCCTCTTCTCCCTTGTAGCTGTAACTCCTTGTTCTGTTACAGATAAGACTCGCAACTATGTCCTGTAAACAAAGTTGATGATGCCCTGTTCTCACAAGAGTCACAAGGAATAAAAATTGTCATCATGTGAGATATGATATGACTAACTTGCTTTTTATTTGCTTCTGTAATGTTGCTTGCCAACCCTCCTCCCAGTTTCATGGCACTGGAGAGACCACCCCTCCTTTTGACCACAAGTATGAAACTGAAACTTTTACATTGTTCTGAGCTCTTCCTTTGGACAGGAGTCCATCGAACTGCTATTCACCTAAAACTTGAAATAAATCCTGATTCCCATGGGTCTCTCCTGTCTCTTGAAATTCTGCAACACCTGCAATATTGTTTAAGCCCCATGAAAGACTAATACCTACTTTGTATTCTTCCTTGTTTTCCCTGCCCTGGGAGACCCTGTCTCTTTCACTGCTGCCAGGTGGAATGGCACACACCTGTAATCCCCACTCCTTGGGAGGCTGATGAAGGAGAATCAGAGTCTGAGGTCAGTCTGGGTAATTTAGCAAGACCCTATCTTAAAAAGGGCTCGGTGGGAGAGAACCTGCTTAGCATGCTCAAGGTCCTTGGTTCATTTCCTAGTACCACACACAAAATACTCAATTTAGTAGAGGTAGATAAAAACTCAGGCTGACCCTGCAGCTGGACTGATGGGAAAAGAAGAATCTTTGTTCTTTAACCACAAGACATTTATTGTTGGAAATCGGAATATCAAGGTTGGGGCAGGAAAGACAGGGCAGAGGAGAATGGGCAATGGTATGAATAGGAGAGGAAAGATACTTGAGCATCTTGCCTGACATTCAGGCAGAGGCAGGTGGTGCTGTTAGTTTTGAAGCTAAATATAAGTTGAGCCAAGTAGTGTGTGGGGTGGGGGGCCTTTTGCTGCCTGAGTTAGGCTTTTAGACCATGTTGCAGAAAGGTTTATTTCGGCAGCATATAATTTGCATCCTTGTTCCATGAGAAATGAGGTTCATAGAGGGACATTTGTTCTCACATCCCTGAACCATGAATTGGAGTTTTCCACCTGAAAGGGGCAAAGACATTGGAGTTAACAGAAGGCTTCTCTCCCTGACCTTTATCCTTGGTCCCCACTGTCCCCATGCAGAGATGGCTAAGACCGCCACATGTATTTTCTTTTTCCCCCACTTTGTTTCTGTCCTCTGGGACTTTCACTCCACTAGTTTCCCGCCTCTCACTTATTGCTCTATTGTTTTCTTCTCTGTTGCCTCCTTTTTGGGTTTATAAGCATGTTCAAGTTCTCTCAAACTCAAAAGTATTTTCTTTCTTTTTTTTTTTTTTGTATCTCCTGCCACTGGCCTAACCCTACAAACCTCTCTGGAGAGCCAGCTGTCCTCACTTGACCTTCCCTTCTGCCCTAGACACTCTAAATCATGATTCTACTGCTGAAATTCTCAACTCAAAGTGCTCTGCCCTTCAGATTCTGCAGTCTTTTCTTGGGACTCCGACCTTTGTGGGCACGTAATCCTGTAGACTACACCCTATTTCTTGACACTCTTCTCCAGTGTTCCCTACTATTCCTCGATCCAGTTATGTGCTTCCCAAGTAGAATTCTCACATTTCCAATGAACTGATGGTCACCTCCATTCAGATATGTTAAGGATATCTAAAATTTACTGTGCCCCAAATGAAGTTCATTTCCATCTTCATCACTTAGATTTGCTTTCTTGACATTTCCCTTACACATTTTCTGTATCATACTCTCAAAATCTTTGTGATGTCTGATTTCTCTTTGCCCTTTCTGTACAATTGGTCGAGAAGGTCTATCTACTTTTCCAGTGCATGTTTTTATCCTATCACTTCTATTCATCAATCATTTAAGGGACCTTTACTGTGTGTAGGGAACTATGCAAAACACCAGAGGAGTTTAAGGTTAATAACATCAAGGTCTTCATTGTCAAGCACAGACACACACACACACACACACACACACACACACACACACACACACATTTCATAAATTTCTGTTAAATCCTCCTGTGAAGATTAAATGAGAAAGCATACTTTAAAGTGCATCTATACTATTATATTAACCTTATGAAGTCACTCCTTCACTCAAAATTCCTGCATTCAAACTCCTTGAAGTAATACTGAAGTGTTTTTTGGGTGGTAGTGGTGGTGGTGGTGGCTTTTTTCTGGGGATTGAACCCAGGCCATTCACACTGAGCTAATCCCCAGCCTTTGTTTTTTTTTCTTGAAACAGTTTTGGTATGTAGTTCAGGCGGGCCTTGAATTCTACTGGATAGCATAGGCTGGCTTAAAAGTTACAGCACTTCTTTTTGCCTCAGCGTCCTGAGTACTGAGATTATAAGGGTGCACCACCAAGCCCAGCTTTTGTTTTAATATTTTGAGACAGGGCCTATGTAAGTTAAGTTGCCCAGGTAAGCTTGAACTTATGATCTTCCTGTCTCAACCTCCCAGAGTGCTAGAATTATAGGCATGTGCCACCACATTCTGCAGTTTTTCAGGTCTTTTTGTATGATATGGCTCCAGCCAACCATTTTCAAATTTGTTTTCTTCTCTCCTATTTGCAGCACCCAAAGGTCTCTATTTTTCCCGTTATATCCTGTACTTTTCTGACTTTTGTTTTTGTAATTTCCCACCTCTGGCATATCCTTCATCAACTGTTGCTGTATGACTAAATCAGTAGTTCTCTTCAGTCCTGCTTATATGTTGAGGTGGCTGAGGAGCTTTAAAAAACATTGATGCTGGTCCTGTGGTACAGGCCTGTAATCCCAGAACTCTGGGAGGTTGGAACAGGAGGATCACAAGTGTGAACCCAGCCTGGACAATTTATGGAGACCCTGTCTCAAAAATGCGGTTGGGGTGAGGATGTAGCTCAGTACAAAGGCTCTAGGTTCAATCCCTAGTACCAAAGAAGTAATAATAACTTGGATTTAATCCCCAGAGATTATTATTTGGTGCAACCTGAGCATTAGGATTTTTCAAAGCTGCTCAAGTGATTGTAGTGTGTAGCCAAGACTGAGAGTTATTGGCCCATGTCTTATGGGTTTCCCCCAAAGCCTTTTCTGAATGCCACCTCCAAATTTGTTTGGTATTTTTGCTCCTCTCATCTTTCCTTTCCTGCCACCTCTAATCTCCTTCTCTTGTTGAGTTCTCAGTGTTTGTATACTTTTTTCTTTTTTTCTCAACAGTACTGGGGATTGGACCCAAGGGCATCTCACTGAGCTACACACACAGCCATTTTGTTTTGTTTTTTTGAGACCAGGTCTTGATAGGTTCCTGAGATGCCCAGTTTTGTGCAGGCTGAGATTGACCCTACCATCTACCTCAGAGGGCCAAGAATATAGGCATGTACCACTATGCTCAGCCTCTGTGTGTCTTTCTTATAATTTCGTTTTCTCCTTTGTGATATCATTTATTTGTTATCTTAGGCCAACCCCTGTGTGGTGGAGTGGTACTGGTTGGGCTGCATGGCAGGAGGTGAGCACTGGGGCTAGGGAGTAAAGCTTCATCTGTATTTACAGCAGCAGGGGAACCCTACTGTGAACTGCAATGTGAGGGATCTAGGCTGAGAGCTCCTTCAAATCACTCTGAAACAAGTCCCCCTTTCACACCTCTAATCCCTATCATGGAAAAATTATCTGTGAAATTGGTCCCTGGTGCAAAAAAAAAAAAAAAAAAAGGATTGCTGTATTAGGCCATAATTTATATATCTATATCTATCTATCTATCTATCTATCTATCTATCTATCTATCTATCTATCTATCTATATTTTGGGGGGTTTTTTTGTTTGTTTTTTTAAGACAAAGTCTCACTATGAAGTTCAAGCTGTGAACTCACTGTGTATCCCAGGCTGGCCTAGAAATTGTGGTGATCCTCCTGCCTCATCTTCCTTAGTGCTGGGATTACAAGTGTGTGCCACTACACCCAGCATACACAGTCTGTATTTGATAGTTTGTTTCTTTAATGTTCGTTGAGTGATGGTGGATGAATGCATTCATGTAGAAATGAGAAAATGGCATTTCTAGTGAGGGACTAGAAAGTTCATGGGATGGAAGTAACCAAGTATTCTTATTTTGGTTAGGAAGGATGAGAGAGGGCAGAGAGACGTAGAAATATACTCAGAATAGTTTGGCAACCTATGAACATAGATTTGTAGTAAATTGTTTATTAGTTTATTCATTCAGTATTTACTAAATGTCTGCTTTATCATATGCTGGATATTGTTCTAGGCTCTGAAATATGTAGCCATGAACAAAACAGATAGTGCTAAGGTTACAGTTTGTGTCTCAGTGGCTTAAGGGACAACTCAAATTTCTTTCTTTAATAGGAAGAGACAACCAATATCCCTGCCTCCTTTTCTGTGAAGTCTTAGACCTGCTGGGAAGGACCTGTACCTCTCCAGTCCATACCTGGGATTCTACTCTAAATTCTTGAAAAGAGGTTCTATTTAATCTCCAATTTTCTTGATCCCTCCCCTTTGGCACTACCCCCTAAACTGCTACTATTAGTACTTAAGTTACCTGATGTGTTCTCATACCTTCAAAGATCTTCTTTAACATGCACTGCTGGGAATTCTCAGTGGTGCACATTCCCTCTCCACGAAGACATTTTCCTTGATCATTCATATAAGCGCATGTGTGGCAATTTAATATTGCACCTGCAATTTTAAGATAAGACATGAAATTCCCTTATGGACCAGGTGTGGATATGTGTCAGACATCTGGGGTAGAATGATAGATAATAAGTAGCCTGGAGCAACATATTTCTGAGTTTTTGCTGGGGCTCTGAGGGTCCTGTTTGTGATACAGCGTGTTCTCTTTTCTGTTCTGGAGGAAATTCAGTCTTAATTGTTCTTAATTAATCTTCATTGCTGATTAATCCCGAATTTACTCCCTACTCTTGACTTTTACTCTAGTGCGTATCTTCACTGGCTTCCTGGGCATTTGTAATCAGTTGCTCTTCTGTTATATCTTACTTCATAAAAACAAAGTGTCCTATGACTGGCTTCCATTACTACTTGCCATACTCTCACATACCCCACAAGGCACAAACATTTGGAGTCAAATTTAATTGATTTTTAAGCTTTATTTCTATTGCAAACCCTATAAAGAGTCTGTGTTATTCTCCATTTTCAAATTGACCTTATTGAAGGTCACTGCTGGCATTTTTTTTTGAACTGTATCACATTATCTCTTCCAGTATTTCTGTCAGTGCCCTAGTTCAGGATGCGCGCGCGCGCGCTCGCACGCGCGCACACACACGCACGCGCGCGCACACACACACACACACACACACACACACACTGGGAAGGGGAGAATATGGGCTTTAGACTGACCTAAATTTGAATCCAAGGTTTGCTACTATCTAGCCATGTGACTGATGTTGGATATATTACTTTTGCCCAATAATCTGATCTGAAAGTTTAATAATTATGCAGTGGGATGAAATATGAAGTATTAATATTGTTGATAGCAATTTGAAACCTCAAATTTTGGGTATTAGTTTTCTTGCCTGAATCACCTCTTTTAATAAGAGCCACAGAATTGCAGTTATCCTGGGAATTTATTTTTGGATCTAACCAACGAAAGCATTCCATGAGTTACTAACAAGGGTTAGTTTTCAGAATTCTGCATTTCCTATGAGCCCTGCCAGGGAAACTGGGCTTTTGTATTCATAATTTCTTATGGTACGTGCATTTGGAGGGGCTACTGGCATTTTATGTTTGTTATTTTCTTAAGCATTCTCCAAATCATATAGAATGCAGGCCCCATAAAACATAAAACATGCCCCTTGGTATTGTTGTGAAGAGACCTAGAGAGTCTTTGGGAGAATTGTTTCCAAAGTATTCACGATTCTTCCCACTTCCCCTAAAATTGGGTTTTCCTGATGTGTTTCCCACTTCTCACTTGAAACCAGTGTGGCTCACCTGAAGATGTATTTGGAAGTGGTGTGCTTGAAGGCTGTTCTCCAGAAGCATGTTCTTCTAGAGCCTGGTTACTATCAGACTTTTCTCCAGAAGCCTGTTCACCTGAAATCACTTCACCTGAAGCATGTTCACCTGAAGTTTCTTCGCCTATGGCATGTTCATCTGAAGTCTCTTCAGCTGAGGTGTGCTCACCTGATGTCACTTCACCTGAAGCCTGCTCACCTGAAGCCTCTTCACCTGAGGATTGTTCGCCTGATGTCTCTTCACTTGAATCGTGTTCACCTGATGTCTCTTCACCTGAGATGTGTTCACCTGATGTCTCTTTTCCTGAGGCATGTTCATCTGAAGTCTCTTCATCGGAAGCATGTTCATCTGAAGTGTGTTCACCTGAAGTCTCTTCACCTGAAGTGTGTTCACTTGCAGCATGTTCATCTACAGTGTGTTTATCAGCAGCATGTTCTCCTGCAGCATGCTCACTTGAACTGTGCTCTGTGGAACTATGCTCAGTCAGAACATTCTTGCCTGAAGAAGTCTCAGATAAAGCTTTGGTATCTGAAGGGTTTGCAGGTGAAAGGTACTCATCTGAAAGTTGCTGAACTGAACCTTGATGTTCTATAGAGGCAAGCGGCTCATTAGGCTGACTTGATGTTCCTGGTATGGAGAAGAAAAGCAATAGATAGTGAAGGTGAGAGAGAGAATGGGGTAAAGCCTACTTTCCTATAGAGTGAGACAAATGGGGACCTCTAGATTTCCTGTGGGTCAAGAACAGGCACTTGACTATTGTCAAGCGCATTATTGTGCAGATAGGAAAATCAACTAATTACTGCAAGAAAACATGGAGGATAGACCACCTCTGGGATTGAAGGAAAGAGCTTTAAAATACATAATACTAAAAACTACATAGAGAGATGCCCTCACTCACACCAAAAGCACCTGAAGTGAAATGAATATACCTCCCTGACAAAGCCAGCATCAGGAAATCAGGTTATTCATGTCATCAGAAGTCTACCGCCAGTCTTTGGCAAAGTCAAGAAGAATGAAGATAGAAGAGAGGGAGAGAGTAAATAGTTTCCTATAGCTGAGTAATTCCAGCCTAAATTAGGGATGGATAATTTTCTTTCTTTCTTTTTTTTTTTTTTTTGGGTCAGGGGGTTTGAATTCGG